CCCCCCACCGAGGAGAGCTCTCGGACCAGTCTCCGTTCTGAGCTCCCGCCCTCAGCCCTCGATCAGCCCTCGATCTGATTACGAGTCACACGTCAGCTGCTGAGGGCAGCGCCAGTCAGGATGCTCTCATCACCCCCATGGGGTGAGAAGAGATAGGTGCATTTATTCATTCATTCAACCCACATTTACTGAACTCCTCCTGCTTCCAGACTTGGAAGAGCGGCTATTTCCGGTGGGATGCTGCTGCACCCCCATCACATGGGCAGGGAGTCCTGGCGGGTACAGCAGAAGGCCAGCCCGGGCTGTGACTCACCAGGACCAAGGGCAGGAGGCCAGAGGAGTCCATCCTCCTGGGCACGAGGCTGGTGGTAGGTGTGAGCCTTCTTACTCTTCACCAGGAAGGAGCGTGGCATCGTCACCGGGTGCCCCACACCTATAGGGGGAGAAGACGAGAAAGTTTAGGAAGGACGAGAGGACGATACTCCTCTATATTTTAGGACCTCCTCCTAAAATCAAAATCCACTGTCCTGGTTTGAATACTGTCCCCCAAAGTTCACGTCCACCCAGAATCTGTGAATGTGACCTTATTTGAAAATAGGGTCTTTGTAGATGTAATCAAGTTAAGGTGATGTCACACTAGGTGCAGAGAAACCCTAAATCCAATGTGACAAGTGTATTTATAAGAAGAAGGAAACTTGGACACACAGACACAGACACGTGCAGGAAGAAGGGCCACGTGGAGATGGGGGCAGAGATTTGGAGGGATGCGGCTTCAAGACAAGGATTGCTGGCAAACCAGAAGCTAGGAGACAAGCCTGAAACAGATGCTCCCTCAGAAACTCCAGAGGAGCTGACTTTGCTGACACCTTGATTTTGGATTTCTAGACTCCAGAACCCTGAATGAATACATCCCTGTTGTGTTAAGCCACCCAGTTTATGGTATTTTGTTACAGCGGCTACAAAGCCTAGTGTCCCTCACTCCTCTCTTGCTGGAAAACCAACACACCCACTTCTAGAAAACCCCAGGTCAGCCTGCCCCTGCTGCATGCCCTGAGTTACACTGGGAGCAGAGAAGGAAGGGCAGGGGTACCTCCATTTGTGAAACACTCTGCACCCTGCACCCAGAAAACTGCATCTGCATCCTGCTGGGGTCTGCATTCAGAGGCTGTGGAAAGTTGTGGTCTGAGCACAGGTTTTGGAGTCAGATGCTCATGGGTTAGAATCCCAGCTCACCCGCTGTGCAATTTGGGGTAGACGCTTAACCTCTCTGGGCCTATTACCTTTTCTGTAAGATGGTAATCCAGGCTGATGGTGCTGGTGAGTGCATAGTACGTGCTCAGCGCCTATCAGAGAGGAACCTGGCAGGTGGGCTGCAACGAGGGGGCCCACCTCAATCGCAAATCCACGTTATTGTGCAAGTTGGGTGCTGACGTAGCCAGAGCGGGGCTGCACCTTGTCCACAGCTCCAGCCCAGAATCTGGCCCACAGAGACGGAGGGGCTTTTCCTCTCTCCTCGTGGGTGGAGGGGATGGATGAGGTTCTATGTGGAGCTCGAGGCCTGAGAGGACCCCACTGGAGGCCTGAGGTCATTTTGTGCACAGGCAGGAAGAGGCCAATGTCCACCAACTCTAGGGACTGAGCACGGGGCAGCCCAGCCCAGGCCCATCACTGAACCCACAGGTCAGCGGGTTGGGGAGTGCGGAGCTGGACCAGCCTGACTACCCGGTACTCTTGGCTTCTGGTGCAGAGCCCTCTGGGGCAGAGAGTATCTCCTGCCCGCCGCCCCAACCCCCCAAAATGTTTCACATCCCTGCGCCCAGCCATGAGGCTCTCCTGAGGGCTCCCAGGAGACAGAGCATCTCCTGGTGGTCCTCTGTCCCCGCCACCCCCAGGCAGAAGCTCAGAGGAAATATTCAGCCGATGCCGGTGCTGATGGCAGCTCAGCTGGGCCCATTCCCCAGGCCTCAGAGGAGGAGCCCCCCACTCCTGGGCCAGCCCAGGCACCAGGCAAGGCTGCAGGCGTGATAGGGCCAAGCGCGGGGAAACAGATCGCGGGAAAAAGCTCTGAACAACAGCGAGGGCCTGGTTGATAAGGCCGTGGCCAAGGAGCCGGCTGGGAGCAGGCAGATTAGAGAGGGAGCTTGGAGCTCTGCCTTGGGAGCGGCCCTGGGAGCCACCCCTTCCCCAAGGGGATGACCCAGAGCAGGCAGAAGAGGTACCCACACCCGTGCCCAGACCTGCCCGCCCCTCTGGGGGCAGCAGGAGTTTGGGCCATGCCGCTCTGCCAGGGGCCATTCCAGGCCCAGCCTTCCTGAATGGAGGCCTCAGTGTCCGGATCTGCTAAATGGCGATCTCAAACCAACTTCCTGGGACTGCTGGGGAGAGAAAGGAACTTTATTTATTACAAACAATTGTGTAAAGGGCCCAGTGTGGTGCCTGGGCTGCTGGGGGGATGGAGGTACTCAGCCCACAGAGGAGAGGCTTTGGGAGGGCAGGCACTGCTTGGGTCCTGTCTGGTCTGGTGGCATCCCCAGTGCCTGACCCAAAGCCGGCACGCTCTATGGATGGGGTCAAGCCCTGACCAGGAGCCGAGACACGCTCCAGGCCCCTCCCCCGGGCCCTGAAATGAGGGCGTGGGACCTGATGGCCTCTGGGGTCCGGTCCAGCTGTCAGATTTTGACCACACGAGGCTTAGCCAGCCTGCTGTCCTCCGCAGGCTTGTGGGGCAGCTCTTATCTCCCAGGGACAGTGTTCTTCCTCATGCCTCCCCCTCTCCCCCCGCCCAGGGCTCCACACACTGCCCCTTCCTGCCCCCTTCTAACTCTTGGCTTCAGGAGCCCCCTGAAGAGGCCAGAGCCTGGGCAGAGCGAGAGGAGACCCTCACGTTCTGGGGGAGGGCCGGGTGGCTGGGTTCCCCTCGCCTTTTATTCTGGGGGGACCTCCGTAGCCATGATTTTTTAAAAACATAGTATTTTATTAGTCAATCAACTAGAACCAAAAGTAGGTATTAAAGCGGCTGAGCTAGAACACCAGGAAATACTTCTTGCAGCCTGGATCTGCAGAGCCTCAGCTCTGATAATCCTGGCTTGTGAGCTGAGTGGCTATTACTCCACTTTACAGAGGAGGAACTGAGGCTTAGAGACTGGCTCACAATCCCAGGGCAGAGTGAGGCGGAGCTGGACTTGGTCATCTGCCTCCCAGGCCTCCGTGCTCTTGGCTGTCAGACCATGGGGTGGGCTCTTGTTCAGGGCGGTGGCAACTGAGCTGACAAGCTAAGGAGGAAACCAGGACAGCGCATGAAGCTCCCCAGCGTGCACTGCGTCACTGAATCTGACACCCACTGGGGCAAGGGAAACAGTGATTGTCTTCCCGGGTCACGGGGGGAACCTGAGGCTGAGAGAGGCAAGTGGCTTGTCCAGGGCCTCACAGCAGAGCCAGACCCAGAGCCCCTGCTTGCTAGGACTTGACTCCTGGCCCCAAGCTCTGCCCATCTGCACCTGTGGTTCTTTCAACACCGGATGAAGACAGCCTGCCTGGAGCAGGGAGGAGAAGTCTCATTGGTGGGGCGAGATGGGGGACAAATCAAATTCCCCTGATCTTTGGACTCTTCCAGGATCCAGCAGGCCCCATCTAGGCTCGTGAGGAGTTTGGGGTGGAGAGGCAGGCGAGAGAACAGGCTTCTTTTAGGAAGCTTCAGTGATCCCTTGGGCTCAGAACCCAAGGAGACCCTAGAGGTCAGCTCATTGGAACCTGGCATGACAACACAATGGCTCTCTGGGGTTCAGAAGCAGGTACACAGGGGAGCAAGGGGGTCCCAGGAAGGTGATTCTCAGGGCCCACTCTAGTGATCCCCCCGGGGCCCCCAATCTCTTCCCCTTCCCTCCCTAGAACATTCTCTCCGCTAAGCCTGGCAAAGTGACAGTGGCGAAGCCATCAAGCTCACCGTGGAGGCCAAATGCACCCAGAGAACTTCCTTTTGACCCCTGTAAGCTGAGTTTAAAAAAAAAAAAAAAAAAAGGAACCAATCACCTATACCGTAGTTAATTAACAACCACACGGTTTGATTCACACTAACCTGTCCTGAGAAAGAGCTACGAGCAGAGATTGTGTAAGAAGCCCAAGATTTCTTCATAACAGAGGCCTTGATGGTATCGGGCCTCCGGAAAGAGCCTCGCTGTTAATATCTCTTCAAAAACCCCCAATCCCCATAGAGGGTTCCCCGACCCTGAGTCAGAATCTCGGCCAGTACTTCTGAAGAGGGGCAGGCAGCCCCGCACCCTGACTCCCAGACGGAGCCAGAGCAGCAGGCCTGTGATTTCCGTGCAACGAGGCGCCTCCCGTGGGGCTGAATCGGATTCTGTGACCTTGAGCCTAACCACGTCAGCCGCCAACCTGGGGCTTGGTTTTCCTATCTCTCAGAAGGGACGGTTGGACTAAGAGATTTCTAAACTTCCCTTTTGCTCTAAAATCCCATGCTGGGGTTCGTTGACTTTTAGCACAGGACCGACCTACCTTGACTAAGAAACTCATCACTCGGGTTCCCTTTTTGGGAGGATTGAGTAAGACACTCCGTTGTTTCTCAGAGTCTGCTACAGAGGACCCTTTGGACTTCCTTTATGCTTAAAGACGCGACTCAAGGGGAAACACAAACAAACAAACAAAAAATCACCCTTTCCATGTAGGAGTCAGGGGACGTGAGCCCAGGTCCTTTTTGGGGCCCCAGCAGAGGGCAGTCATTACTTTTATTCAACATTTGGAAGGAGTTCTCAAATGTCTCTTCCTAAGTTCAGAGGATGCGATGTCAAAAAGAGGTGAATCCACCTCTGGGTATATAAAAGTATCGAAAGCAGGGACTTGAACAGATATTTGTACACCCAGGTTCATAGCAGTGTTATTCACAATAGCCAAAAGGTGGAAACAACCGATATGTCCATTAATGGATGAGTGCATAAACAAAATATAGTATAGACATAACAATGGAATATTATTCACTCTTCAAAAGGAAAGTGATCCTGACACACGCTACAACGTGGATGAACAATGAGGTCATTATGCCACTTGAAATTAAGCCAGACACCAAAGGATGAATACTGTAGGAGTCTACCTATGTGAGTTACCTAGAGTAGTCCAATTCAGAGACAGAAAGTAGGATGGTGGGGGCCAGGGGCTGGGGGGATGGGAGGACTGGGGAGTTCTTGTTTACGGGGGACAGAGTTTCAGTTTTTTGCAAGATGAAAGAAGTTCTATAAATGGACGGTGGTGACGGTAGCAGAGCAATGTGGATGTGCTTAATGCCACTGAACTGGCCACTTAAAAAATGATTAAAATGGTCCATTTCATGTTATGTGTATTTTACCTCAATAAAAACAAAAAGGAGTGTAGAGCAACTATACTCCAATAAAAATTAATTGAAAAAACAAAAACAAAACAAAAAGGAGTGAACAAAACATTTCCTGAGCATCTCTGAATTAGAGGTCAAAGCAGTTCCCATCGGTTTGAATTCCTGGAAACAAAGGAACAAAAACCACCCTCTAGACTGAGGAAGGGTAAAGTTTTCTGTTGTTTCTGAAAAGGGTTGAGAGGTTGTGTCACAGTGAAGCATCACATGTGATCAGGTTAGTTTTCCTGGGGGGGGGCAGATTGGCCCCAAAGGCTTCGGGATCCCTTGTACTCTCCAGGAGGACACCACCACCCAGTCTCCTGAAAGCCTTGAGAAAATGCTCTGCACTGGTTTTGAGTGACTCCATCAATCAAACCTAACCCAAGTATAACTCCCTGGTGGTCCCCAAGAACTTTCTGCTGGGAAACTGACATACCAACCCACAAATCTTTTTTTTTTTTTTTTTTTGGCCGAGTGGCTTGCAGGATGTTAGCTCCCCGACCAGGGATCGAACCCGTGCCCCCTGCAATGGAAGCACATAGCCCTAACCACTGGATCACCAGGGAATTCCCTCCGATCCCCAAATCTGAGTTGGAAGAAACCTCACACATCTTCTTATCCAAAAAATCCCTTCTGCACCACCTCTGAGGACAAGAAACTTGCCCCTTCTCTAAGACTGAAGTCTTCTACCCGTTGCCCACTAAGAAATGTGCAGAGGAGTGAGCCCGTGTGGGCAGGTGCAGCTCAGCTGGCTCCCACCAGATCCACGTCCAGAGACCAAAAATTACTTTGCACCTCCCACCATAGTATCTCATGAAAGCTGCGGACTTTCTTCCCAGCAAAACGTACACAGGCACATACCCACGGTGATTCAGTGGACTGCCCCCCTTAACAAGCCCTACGTTAGAGCAAGCACCTCTCCCCAGACGCCCAGACTCTAACTTGGCTTTTTCTTCAAAATTAGGTAGAAGAGGCTGAGGCACCACCTCCCCATCTCTTGTTCCTGGAGGCTGGGTGGGAGGGTGCTGTGGAGATGTCAGTCCCCTGCTCCCCTTAGGAGGCTCTGAATGTGAAGTGCCTCCCTCTCAAAGTGTCCCAGGAACTTTGGGGAAGGTCGCCTGGGACTGTGGGTGCTGAAGCTAAGACTTCCTTCAGAGTCCTCAATCCCACTCTCTTATTTCACAGCCAAAGAAAGGCTCAGAGTGCCCTGGGGACAGGGCCAGTCTGTCCCCGAAGACGGACACCAACTCAGGCACTTCCACCTGTGTCCTGCCTCGCCTGCCCAGGTCCCTGGGAGAGCTGGGGTGTGGGTATGACATCATGCAGGTAGGTGATCTCCGTCAGACTAAAATCAAATCTTCAAGGGGCGTTCATGGGACCTCCCTGGCGGTCCAGTGGTTAAGACTCCGCGCTTCCACTGCAGGGGGCACGGGTTCCATCCCTGGTCAGGAAACTAAGATCCCGCATGCCATACGGCCAAAAAACAAAAGCAAAAATAACAACAACAACGAGTATACATGCACAATTGGCGGAAGGTAATTCCTCCAAAGGTACACGGGGGGCTCGCAGCATCTCAGAGGAGACTGTCTCCTTGCCACCTCTTCTCTGGGTTCAAGGACTAAAAGCCACCTCTCATAAAAGAGATTTTCCAGCCCACCTTAGTCTTCCTAGGACTGCCAAAGGGACTAGGTAAACTGCTTGGAAACGATCTAAGTCGGATATGCAAATTTCAAAAGAAGAGGCAGGGGCATTCTGCTCACTCACCTGTCCGGAGCTCCTCGTCCACGGTGGGAAGCTCGCTGCTCCCTCTGGGGATGGTGCCACCCGGTCAATTTGTGACTCTCTGCTCAAGTAGATACTTCTCCTTTCCCCCCCCCCCCTCTCCCCGTGTGTGTGTGTGTGTGTGTGTGTGTGTGCGTGTGTTTCCTCTTCTGTTTCCCTACCTGATTTTCAATCTGATTACTTGTGTCAAAATCTGGCGGTGAAGGAACAACCAATAGAGAGCGCGCCAGAGCTCTGGGCTGTATTTGCTTATCAAAGCTTTCCAGGAGCCAAGACTCTCCATTCTCTTCTCTAACCCGCCACTCCTGGAGCAGCACGCACTCTCCGGAAATTTTTAATAACATGTGGGTTTAAAAAGTAATGGCTAAATTATTAAATTTTAAAAATTGAAGTTAAAATAAAACATTTACTTATAAACCTGATTTTGTGTAGAGAACTCATAAGTTAGTCTCTTTCTTCCTTCCTCCCTTCCTTCTTTTTCTTTCTTTCTTTCTTTCTTTCTTTCTTTCTTTCTCTTTCTTTCTTCCTTCTTCCTTTCTTTCTTTCTTCTTTCTTTCTTCCTTCTTTCTTTCTTTCTTTCTTCTTTCTTTCTTCCTTCTTCCTTTCTTTCTTTCTTTCTTTCTTTCTTCCTTCTTTCTTTCTTCCTTCTTTCTTTCTTTCTTTCTTTCTTTCTTTCTTTCTTTCTTTCTTTCTTTCTTTCTTTCCCTCTTTCCTCTCTCCTTCCCTCCTTCCTTTCTCCCTTTCCTTCTTCTCCTTCCTTCCCTCCCTCACTCCACGAGCTCAGCACTCAGCAACCCCAGCCTGGAGCATTCCCCTACAAAGCCCTTGGCTTGCGCTGCTGCAAACTGCTTTTAGAGGGGCCCCTCTTGTCCTTGCAGAGGTCGCCGTTGAGAAAAAAGTCAAATCCACGCTTTCCCAGACTTGACCCTAGAGCGAGCGGGGAGCAGCAGGTGTGATATTGAACGTGGGTGATTCCCGCATGTGCGGGACCCTCAGCCGCTCAGGCCCACGGGCAGGCTGCTCTCGGGTCCCAAGGCCCGCGTGTGCTGCCATCTGGTGGCCGCTGTGGAGTACTGGGAGGGCCGGGCGATGGGGGCTGCCTCCAGGTGTCCGTCACCAGCGGGAAGGCTGGGATGGCCAGTCTCGGACATTTCAGCCCACTGGGCACAGAAGCCACCTCCTTCTTCCTCCTCTGCCCCTCAAGCCTCCCCCAGCTTACGGGATGGCTGATTTATTTCAGGAGGTTTTGCATATGAGAACTCACAAAATAGAGCAGTGTTAGGCTGATTTGCATATGCACTGCAAGCCCAGAGCTGGAGAGATTATGTTTCCCTCCTAAAGAAAACAAGTTTGGCGACAGGAAGCCCCGACATAACTGAAGTCCAAGGTCCGACATGGAGAGAAAGGCGGGGTTTCGGGCAGGGTCTCACTGCTGCTGGGCCAGGCCATCGAGGGAGCTCCAGCCTGGAGGTCACCCTGGTCTGTGCGGTGCTGGTACTCTCTGGACCACAGGCCAAACACAGGAGACGACTGGTCTCTCTTCTTGGTGGACAGAGAGATTAGTGGAAACTCCTGGAATATTCTTTGGATGCTGCAGTTTGCCCATAGTCAACTGGAACTCTTTGTCATTATGCAAAGAATTCAAGGATGTTCAGAAAAATAAAAAATAATTAGAAAAATGATTACAGTAGAAAGAAAAAGAAAAATTAATTCAAGGACTTGCCCCTTAATTCACTTTGGTATACACACATGTCCACAGTTTGCTATTGTCAACCAGCAGGTCTTTTTCTCTTTTCACTGAATGTTATTTTGTTTCAGGACCTCCTAAATTCTCTTGTGGCTTTCATTAACATGTTTAATGATTTCACGGTTTTTCATGGCTTACCTTACTAATCACCTTCTCCATTTAGTTTGTGGGGTGTTTTCTAGTGTAAAGCTGCTGTATCAGGCACGTACAGTTCAGCTGTTGTTCTAAGATGTAGTCCCACTTAGGGTCCTTCTCTGCCCCCTTGAGTAACCAACTCAGGGACTCCTTTCCTAGACCAGGATCCCAGCCTGCAAGTAAAGACAGGCCTTCCCTGGAGCCACCTGGGAGCCCCTCTATGGGAGAGCACTGGCCAGGCCCCATGAGCACATCAGTTGAAGCCAGGAGGCCCCAGGCAGCCTCTCATACGCTCTTGCAGACTGAGACCTCCCAGCCTCTGGATCCCTTCCAGGGCTGCCTGCAGAGCCAACACCACTCCTCTTGGTAGGCAGCCCTGGAGATGAAATGCCTTCATTTAGACTCTTCCAAGGGCTAGGTCACATCAGCATCCTTGTGCCCATTCATTCATTCATTCGAGTTCTGTTGGTACCTTTCATGTGCCAGGTCTCTCCTTCTTCCCCCTTCCCTCCTCCCAGCTCGGGCTGCCAGAACAAGACACCACATACTGGGTGACTTAAACAGCATTTATTTCTCACAGAGGCTGGGAAGTCCAAGGTCAAGTTGCCAGTAGATTGAGTCTCTGGTGAGGACAAGCTTCCAGGCTTGTAGACAGCCGCCATCTTGCTGAGGCCTCACATGGCAGAGAGAGGACAAGCTCTGGTCTCTCTTCCCCCTCTTAAGAGGACACTAATCCCATCATGGGGGTCCCAACCTCATGACTCATCTAAACCTATCTCCCATCCAAAGGCCCCACCTCCAAATACCATCACATTCATTCATCAACATATGAATTTTGGGGAGACACAGACATTTGGTCCATTACATTCCCTTAGCTAATACATGTTTACTGAGTACCTACTAGGTACCAGATGCTAGGGTTTCAAACAAGAACCAGACAGGAGCCCTAGTGAGCTTCTTCTTTGTCTAGCAGGTGGGACAGAATACCCAGACATTTACAATTTGGGCTAATAAGTGCTGTGATGGGAATGTGGTTTGCATGTAAACAAGGAGCTTGGGGCATCGGGAAATGGACCCAGGAGAGTTAGTGAAGGAAGTGGCATCTAAGTTGATGCCAGGCTGAGTTGGTTGGGAGAAGGAAAGTAGGGAAGGATGTGCAAAGGACTGGAGGCCAGGACCTTCAGGGAAGTGACAGCAGCCAAGTTCAGTCTGAGTGGAGGGTGGCAACTGAAGGAAGGGGAGGGAAGGAGAGGACACTCGAGAGATGAGCCTAGAGAGGAAAGAAGGAGCACAATCAGGAAGATTCCTCCCTGGCTTAGAACCTTTAATGAGGGGCTTCCCTGGTGGCGCAGTGGTTGGGAGTCCGCCTGCCGATGCAGGGGACACGGGTTCGTGCCCCGGTCCGGGAAGATCCCACATGCCGCGGAGCGGCTGGGCCCGTGAGCCATGGCCGCTGAGCCTGCACGTCCGGAGCCTGTGCTCCACAACGGGAGAGGCCACAGCAGTGAGAGGCCCGTGCACCGCAAAAAAAAAAAAAAGAAAACCTTTAAGGAGTTCCCTTTGCCCACAGGACAGAAATCTCAGCTTCAGAGAATAGCACTCAGTGTTTTCATGGTGTCAGAATTCTTTCAAATGATGGAACTTTTTCAGATGCAAGTTGCAGAAACCCGATTTAAACTTGTTTAAGAACAACAAGGGACTTCCCTGGTGGTCCAGTGGTTAAGAATCTGCCTTCCAGTGCAGGGGACGATCCCTGGTCAGGGAATTAAGATCCCACATGCCACGGGGCAATTAAGCCCACATGCCGCAACTACTGAGCCTGCGTGCTCTGGAGCCTGTGGGCCACAACTAGAGAGAAGCCCGTGTGCCGCAATGAAGAGCCTGTGCACCTCGATGAAAGATCCCGCATGCCACAACTAAGACCCAATGCAGCCAAAAAATAAATAATAAATAAATATTTAAAAAGAAAATGGTTCCCTGTGGTCAGTTGTCAAAAAAAAAAAAAAGAACAACAACAAAACAATTACTTCATGTCACTGAAAAGAGTCTACTTCAGGTATGGCTGGATCCAGATGCTCACATGATATTGCCTGGATCTCATTCATTCCAGCCTCAGGACATTTGCATTCATTGTCCCCTCTGCTGGACGGCCCAACCCCAGATCTTTCCATGGCTGACCCCTTGTCATCCAGGTCTCAGCTGAAATGTCACCGCTGTAGCGAGACCTCCTTTGCCATCAACTAAAGCCTGACTTTCCCACCCCAGACGCTTTCTGTTTCATCAGCCTTACTCTTCTTAGCATTCATAATTAACTGAAAATATCTTGTGGATTTATTTCCTCTTTATTTATTTATTTTTGGGGCCTCACTGCCCACAAGGAATGTGGGCACTACAAGAGCAGGGGTCTCATTTCCCTGGCTCACAGCTGAATCTCAGTGTATGGTAGATACTGATGATGTAGTTACAGAATGAATGTTTCAATCAATCAATGCATGAATATCTCACTTTCCATCTCTCAGCTTTGCTTTATCCTGCGGCTGAGATCCTCAGCATTACCAGTTTGAGTCCATAAGCTTAGAAACTCCAGTGGAAAGAAAGCTGCTCTCTCAATAGTTTCAGTTAGAGGCCAGGGAGTGACTCTGATTGGCTCATCTCTGCACCATTCACTGTAGCGGGGAGAGGGATATGGGCCTCTCATTGGCCCGGGGTTGGCCGACCTGCTAAAACCACAGGAGAGTGGAAAAAGGGTTTGGGCAAGGACACAGAATAAAGCCAGAAAAGTGTTTAGGGTTGTAGCTGCCACCTTCTAACCATCTTCTCATTGTCACCTGAATATGCTGTGTCCTTCCTGCTGGAGACTGTCGATTAAAAAAAAAAGCACAACGTGAAAGCTGAGAATTATATTTTATTTGAGGCATTACTGAGGACTTAAGCCCAGGAGACAGCCTCGCAGGTAGCTCTGAGGGACTGTTCTAAAGAGGTAAGGGAGGAGCCAGGATATACCAGGATATATGTTTTTGCAAAAACAAAAAACAAAACAAAACAAAACAAAAAAGCAGGTAGTCGAACATCCAAAGATTATTGCTAATTAAAGAAAAACCGGGGAACTTCCCTGGCGATCCAGTGGTTAAGACTCCGCGCTTCCACGGCAGAGGACATGGGTTTGACCCCTGGTCGGGGAAATAAGATCCCACATGCCGCACAGCACAGCCATAAAACCCAGCACCTCAAGTTAATGAATTTAGGGCTTTTCTATGAATGGGAAAATGCAAGAGTCTGGGCTTAATGAAATTATTCCTTTGATATGCATCTTAGCTATCTAGGGTCAGTATCCTGTTTTTCTCCATCCTGAATCCCCTGGGGTGCACCCCTGTGTGTGGTTGCAGTGGCTGAGGGCTTGGTGGCCACAACATCCTTTGTTTACTGATATGGCAGGTGAGTTCTTCATCCACCAGACCAAATTCCAACTCCTGCCTTTGCCCTTCCTGTTCCCCCTGCCTGGAATGTCCTTTTTCTTCAGTCTACTCCTCCAGGAAGCCTTCCAGACTTCCCACAATCTCTGGGTCACCTGTAGTATAAAGGATTTGGCCCACCACGACAACCCTTCGATTCTTGTCTCTGTCCATTGTCATGGGCACTCAGCTGCTTCTTAATAAGACCAGCAGCTATCTGAGGGGAAGGATCCTGTGGAATCCTGTCTCAGCAGACGACAGGCACAGACTGACCCCAGTAAGGCTGGCCTGTGCTGTGCTGGGTGTGCTGCAGGGTTCAGCCTCTGGTCCCAGCATCAGCTGGCATCAGCTCTGTGACCTTGGGTACATTTATGGCCTTGGCTTAGAATGGCCACAGAATGCAGCAAGCGGGAGCTGAGCTGAGCCCACCCGTCCTGGGGACGAGAGGACGGACCAGGTGGTCTTTGCCCTGGGGGCGAGGGCTCCCAGATGCTGCCCAACGGTGACCCTCCTACCACCACCACCAATCCTCCTCTGTCTCCTGGCGCCGGAAAGGCACCCATCGCGGTCCTGCTGCGACTCAGTCATTCAGGGAGACTGGGGAGCTCTGTCCAAGCCCAGGAGCTGCAGGCAGCTGAGGTGGAGGGAGCCCCGCCCTGCCTGCGCCTCGCGGACGGCACTCCGTGCTGGCCGACCCCACCTCCCAGGCGCCCGGGCTCCACGGAAGGCAGCAATTCGCCACACGGTGGCGCTCCTGCCTACTTTTCCTTTAGCAAAAACCAGCCCGAAAACTCTATCCCTCTATCTATCTATCTATCCATCCATCCATCCATCATCCATCTATCTAATTACTGCTTAAATTACAAGAATGAAATATGATCAGAGTAGAAAGAAGAAAATAAAATATGCACCTCCATCCTGACGTGTATCCTTTTAATTTCCCTCCCTCTCTCCCTGCCTCTTCCCCCCTCCCTTTCTCTCCCTCTCCTTCCTCTCCGCCTCTCTCCAGTCTCCCTCTCCCCACACATACATATGTGTGTATAATGTTTTCGATTCAAACAAATCTTTATTGGCCCTTTGCTCTTGGGTACCACACAGGCATTATGTCCCTCGGTCTGTAAGCTCAACCCTCCCATCCTCTTGCCTCCAGGAATCTCGAGATGGGGACGGGCAGCTTCCTGGTGGAAGACCACAGCGTGAGGTTCTGGGGTGCCTTCACTTCACAAGATGGTTGGTTCGCCTAGAGGAGCAAGACAGGAAAGAGGGGCTTCGAGAAATCAGGCAGGGAAGCAGGGGGTACAAGAGAGGACCCTTCAAGGGCCAGCGTTCCTGCTTGATGCCTCCCAGCATCCCCGGGAGGGGCATCAGACAGAGCGCTGGGATCCTGTCAAGTAGCTCATCTGCTCCTTCTACCCCACAGCGACTTCATGAAACCCTCTGGCAGGAGGCTCGTGAGGACTGGAGAGGCTAACTCTTCTTGACAGCCCTTCATAATGGAGACTGGTGATCTATCGCCTCCCATCTAGGTGATTCATATATGTTTTGTTTTTTTGTTGTTGCTGCTGTTTTTGCGGTACGTGGGCCTCTCACTGTTGTGGCCTCTCACTGTTGTGGCCTCTCCGGTTGCGGAGCACAGGCTCCGGACGCGCAGGCTCAGAGGCCATGGCTCACAGGCCCAGCCGCTCCGCGGCATGTGGGATCTTCCCAGACCAGGCCACGAACCCGTGTCCCCTGCATCGGCAGGCGGACTCTCAACCACTGCGCCACCAGGGAATCCCTCATATATGTTTTATAAAACATAAATCCCCGGTGGCAATTAACAGAGCGGATAACGTCGGATTCTCCAGAGTCACTTGGGGCCAATGGGTGCATCGTGCCTGTACTCAGACCTGGGCTTGCTCCTGGCCTTGACACACACCCGCTGCAGACCACAGGCAGACATTAGCCTCCCCGAGCCTCAGACTTGCCGTCTCTAAAACAGGGCTAAGATAAAGCTTCCCTTGGAGCTGTAGGTAGCAAATGAGATAATACATGCAAAACATTTTATAAATGCTAAAATGCTTTAAATGTGTAAGTTATCACATCTCATCAGAAATATTCAGCTGTGGAACTCTGCCCTCTCTTTCATGGGCTAGTCCAGAAGCCTTAGCTGCTGAGGGCAAACAAGCAAACAGGGCATGTCAGCCTGATTCCTACCAGGTGGGTTGTGCTAATTTACATGGCAGGCTGGTTATTAATGAAACACACGGCATCTGGTTACTGCGCCATAAACTCCCGGTGACTTCCGCGCTTGTGTTCTCTGGATACTCCCAGGAAGCCCTTGCGAGGCTGCAGGCACAGAGGAAGGAATGGGAGTCTCGTGAACATTCACCCATGCCAGAGAGGGTGCAGGGCCTTCACAAGCCTCGCCTCTTTTAGTCCCAGGTAGCATTTTGTCACTTGGAAGTATTGACCAAATGACGGGAAACCAAGCACCAACCCCCAGGTGCAGCTGGCACCACAGCCAAGTCCACACAGTGATAAGTGGGGGCATCTGCCTGACCAACCAGGGCAAGGACCCCACCTCCTATCCCCAGGGTTTCTCCAGCACCATGCCTGGCACATCCCAGGATCAGTAAGCTTGTGATGCATGGATGCTAGTTTGTATTCTTCCCAACAAGCACTGTGCGTGTGTGTGGGGGGCGGGGGGCGGTTCATTAGCCAGCCTGAGGAGGGTGAAAATCCCCCAGTGGGTCCTCACCTCCTCGGTCAAGCCCCATCAAGTAGCCCCAGGGAGTGGTGGCCTTGGTGCCTGCGTAGTTTCAGCCATCAGAGGAGTTTTCTGTGGCTGTTGAGCGGGGAGAGGCCCTCTCTCCCCCGACATCCTACGTGGGTCAGGGGGCTTTGGGCCTTGGGCATGGCTTCAGTCTCCAGACCGAGGAAGCAAAGCCTCAAAGGAACCCATAAAGAAGTGAGAGCCGAGGAAAGACATTCAGGACGACATACACCTCTCTGCAGAGAACTCGAAATACAAACCCATCGGGGAAAGAGCAGTCTATCTCAGGGCTGATCAGCATTAGAAGTGACCTGCAGGGGGCGCTGCCTTCCAGCTTCTAGGATTTGCACTCAATTTACATTCATTTTGCCTGTACCTTCAGAGGTTTTCAAATTACCATTTTACCATTGTCCCCTGAAGGGTGAGCATTTTTCTCTTCCGGTTGTTTCTTATCTACCCAAGAGCATGTAGGGAGGTCTCCTTCTCTGAGGAAAAGAATGTAGAAGCTGGGGAGAGGGTGAGGCCATAGCAGTCTTGGGACTACAGTTGGTACGTCCTTGAAAGGTGCTCTGGCCACGCATTTCTGCAAGATGAGTGGTTTGCAGTTTAAAAGGACACGTGTAATAAGCTCATTTGGAAAGCAGGAAAGGATCCTTTACAAATCACCCCACCCAGATCCAGCCATTCCTCTCCTGGGTATGCACCTGAAGCATCAAAGTGGGGACTCAAAGCGATACCCGTATGCCCGTCTTCCCAGCAGCGGTATTCACAACAGCCAAGCGGGGGAGGCTGCCCAGTGTCTATCGACAAATGAATAAGTAAACAAAATAGAGTATATCTGTGCAATGGAATAGTCAGCCTTAAAAAGGAAGCGAATTCTGACACGTGCTACAACACAGATGAACCTTGAAGACATTCTGTTAAGTCCAATAAGCCAATCACAGAAAGATAAATACTTTATTCCACTTACGCGGGGTATCTGGAGAAGTCAACATCACAGAGACAGAAAGTAGAACAGTGGTTGCTAGAAGCTGTGGGTGAGGGATGAGTTATTTAATAGGTACGGCGTTTCTGTTTTGCAAGATGAAAACGTCCTGGAGATGGATGGGGGTGATGGCCGCACGGTGATGTGAACGTGCTCAATGCCCCTGAACTGTGCACTTAAACATGGTTAAGATGGCAAATTTTATGTGATGCGTAGTTCACCAAAGTTAAAAACAAACGTCTGCCCAATCCTTCATTTTCACAGACACAGGGGGTGAGAGTGAAGCCCGGAGTATCTCACCATCTCGTGGTGAGGATCTCAGATTTCCCTTCGCTGTGCAGTCCAATTATTATTTTCTGATCTTCACGTATTTTTGCAAGTTTTTATTATGAAAAATTTCCAAAAAGAAAGCAAGTGAAACATGTCTAATGAACACCTATATATCCCTCACTGTTATTCAACAAGTTATCATTTGCCAACTGTGCTTTATGTCTCTATATGCATATATATGTACATATAAATGTGTTTCGTTTTGATAAAACATTTTGAAGATGTATTGCAGACATCATGACACTTCACCCATAAATACTTGAGCATGTATCTCCTAAAAACAGATATTCTTATATCATCATGTAACTGTCATTATCACACCTAAGAAAACTGTCAATAATTTCCTAGTATCATTGCATATTCATTTCAGACTCACTTTTTTTTTTTTTTTTGCAATCTCCCCCCATTTTCTCGTAGAGTGGCTCTTTTAGAATCAGGATCATGCCAACTTTCAAGCATTGCGTTTGCCTGTTTCTTTAGCCTCCTTTATGATAGAACAGCGCCCCCTACCCCTTTCTTTTGACATTGATCCCTCCCCCCCCAACCCCCACCCCCTCAAAAGAGCTCAGGCCAGCCTGGTAGAAGGGTCTGCTTTCCGGATTTGTCTGATTGTTTCCTTGAGGTGCCGTCTAACCTGTTCCTCCATCCCATGTATACTGGACGTTAGGGCCAAGGCTTGATGCAGTTCAGCTGAGATGTCTTAGGCAAGGATATTTCTCAGGTGATGCTGTGTGCGCCACAGCATTGGCGGTACCTAATGTCAGGTTGTCCCACCTTAGTGATGCTAAGTTTGGTCACTGGGTTAAAGAGGTGACAGCCAGCTCTCTCCATCATAAAGGTGAGGTGAGAAGCAGTCTGTAGAGTAGGACTTTGTCGTCATGCAAGCATCCTGTTCCCCACAGCTTCTCCTAATGGGCTCAGCTTCCACCGCTGAATCAACTGTTTCATTGATGGTTGCAAAATGGTGATCCTTCTAATTCTTTCACTCCTTCCACATTTATTAACTGTTTTGTTTTTTTTTTCTGTAAAGATGAGCTTTCCCTCATTAACCGTGGATGAGCCAGAGTTCTTCCAAATATCAGGGTGTAAATGATTCATCTTTTCTTTTTAATTGCTGATTTCCATAATAAGGTGTTGGCATAATTGGATTTTTAAAATTTTCTCTCTCCTTTTCCCCCCTTAATTCTGAGTATCACTATGAACTCATGGATTTGTATTTTTTCAATGATTTACATTACATTCCAAAGATTCCTTATTATGGTCCGTGTAAGCCAAGGACGCAGTTGCAAGCCAAGAACATCAAAGATGGCTGGCAACCCCCAGAAGGTAGGAGAGGGCATGGGACATTCCCCATCACAGACTCCAGAAGGGACCAGCCCGGCTGACCCTTTGATTGCAGATTTTTGGCGTCCAGCACTTAGAGAGAACACACTTCTGTGGTTTAAAGCCACGCGGTTTGTGTACTTTGTCACAGCAGCCTGAGGACACTCATGCATCAGGGAGCAGTAATGACGATATTCATAGGTGCCCACACTTTGGCATGCGCTCTGATAGGCATTTACATGAGTCTCTCACTGGACTGTCCTAGTGACCCTCTGAGTTGGGTATTTAAGGTATTGGTGGCATCCCCACGTCCAGGTATAGAAACTGAAGTTTGGTTACTCACCCAGGGCACACTGCCAAGTTGTAGAGCCAGGATCCCAACTCAGCCTTACTCCCTCTGTCCTCCCCAGATGGCCTGGTTCGCGCACTGCACACCTGTGGCCGCCATGCCAACTGTCCTTTATGAGTAAGGGCTGGAAAAGGCATTCTTGAACAAAACCACAGAAACCCAAATTATAAGTCAAAAAAGGAGAAGGAGTTGATTACTTCAAAATTAATGTCTCTTTTCCAGCAAAGTACAATATAGTTAATAGGAAGATAACAGGTGGGGGAAGACACTTGAAATATCTACAGTCAGCGAAGGACACGTTTCCGTGTGTTGCGATCCTGCAAAGCAACAAGGAAAAGATAGTAACTCTCCTGAGAGAAAAATGGTCAAAAGATAAGAACTGACCTTTTATGGAGGATGAAACCCACAAGACTGACAAGAATATTAAAAAATGCTCCATCTCATTAAGAGAGAGGTAAGTTAAAACAAGAATGGGTCACTATAGCCCTATTATACTTTACAATTAAGAGTGTTGGCAGGGATGTGGGCATTTTTGTAGACTTCTAGTGAGACTGTAGCCTGGGGCAGCTGTCCTGGAGAACAGTTGGGTGGTGTTTCTTAAAAGTAAGTCTGTGTAAAAATTTTGGAGGTGACGGTTATGTTTAGTCCCTTGGCTGTGGTGATGGTACCACAGGTGCATGCCATGTCCAAAGTCATCAAGATATAACATTAATCTTTTGTGTATCAATTATACCCCTGTAAAGCTAATTTTTTTTCTCTAAAAACAACAGAGCAAGTCCATGCATACTCTATGATCCACCAGTTTTAGTCCTAGTTACGTATCCCAAAGAAATTCTCAGCTGGACGCATACGGGAACAAGTAGTGAAGTTTATCACAGTGTTGTTTCTGGTGGCACTATGGGTGTCGTTCCCTGGGAGAGTGGAGAGTAGATCAGGGTAGATCCACATCATTGAATAATCGTCAGCAGTTAGAAGCTACTGGCTGCACGTATACAGGGCAAGGTACATGAAGCTTCAAGACATAAAGTTGAGTGGGGAAAAAAGTAAGAAGCAGATCGCCATTTATGACATAATCCATTCAACTAAGTTAAAAATATATGCATATATTTATATACATATGTGTCCATTCGGACACAGTGCTAGACAGCAAGGGGACAATGACAGGACTGGAGAGGCCAGGGCTGCTGAGAGTCTCAGGGGCTACTGCCAGGAGCTTGGAGTCCACCCTCCAGTAAATGTGTGACCCCTGAAAGCAGGGGGCTGCCACACAGAAAGCTGAAGCAAGAGAACCACTCAAATGGATGAACTTACGACACTGAAAAGGACATATTTTTGACTAGTGGTGTCCTTCCAAAGGCCTTCAAATCTCATTGCATCTGGAAGGTCTTTTGTTTGTGAGGGACAGAAACCCAACTGAAGCCAACATCAGTGGAAATAGTTTTTGCCTCATGGAACTCGGAGGCAGGGTGAAGCTGGCATCAGGGACTCCGGAGTTTGAGGGGGTAGCAACCTACGTTTCTCTTTCCATCTCTGTCTCTCTTTGTCTCTGTCTCTCTGTGTCTTTTCCATCTTTTGGCTGGACTCCTCACAGCGTCTGGTATAGGTGAGGGAGAGGGGGAGGGTCACAGCTTTCTCATCCCAGTTTAGTGACCCCAGAGGAAAGACAACATCCCTTTCAGCATCCACGTATAACGACTCAGGGAAGCACCCTGATTGGCCCAACTTGGGTCACATGTCCAACTGTACCAACCCCTTTGGCTGGATGCCCAGGATCTTGGATTGGCTAGACCTGGTCCAGGTGCCTGTGGCCTGAGGGTGATGCTGTGGTTGTCCCCAGGAAGGGGAGGGGGAGATGCTGCACAGATGAATGCCTCACACACATCAAGTGGGTGCCACCTGCCTCCAAGGGCTCACCCCTTCTGTTTTCTGTCACACTCAGACAGGCTGGACATGACGGTTGGAGAAAGCCCGGTCAGGAAGCCCCTGCCACGGGGAGGCTCCAGGGTGGTACGTGGAAGGTAGTGGTCTGATCAACGTCTATTTAGCCAATGACAAAAATCAACCCCAGGAAAGCAGAAAATAGCAAGGCAGCCCCTGGGGAGTGGACGGAGACAGCGGCAGGGCTGCCTCTGCCTTTCTTCCCAGCTTCTTCTCACAGCCCCTGGTGGTCCATATTGAGAGAACAATTACCATTCTTCTTCCAGACACTGTATAAACAGGAACAGCGTGGTTATGGCCCCCTTGAGGTCCTTCCATGGAGGAGAGCATTCCAGCAGGATGAGATCACGGAGCCCAGGAAGATTGCGGGTAGGGAAGGGGGGTTCCTGGGCTGGAGCTCTGGAGCAGTGCCCATCCCCCGACTCCATCCCTTAACCTAACTCTCCCAATCATTGGTGGTCTCAGAGTGCCCGAGTTCCTGCCATGGTGCTAACGCAAAGGCAGGAATCTGTTCCTGAACCCAGACCGCCCCGCCCCTTCTCCCCCAAGCTTTCCATCTCTGGGCCCCCGGCCGACTATGCTGGGCAGCTTACACGGAAGACCGCCCCGCCCCTTCTCCCCCAAGCTTTCCATCTCTGGGCCCCCGGCCGACTATGCTGGGTAACTTACACGGAAGTCACCGCCCCGCCCCTTCTCCCCCAAGCTTTCCATCTCTGGGCCCCCGGCCGACTATGCTGGGTAGCTTACACGGAAGTCAGCACCGGGTGGCCTGACTCCAGGCAGCGACTGGATGCTGACTGTGAGCGCAGCTAACAAATTAACAAAACTCACATTTATTGACATAGGCTCTGTGCTGGTTACATCTTAACGTCTCGTTGAATCCACCCCAAATCCCCATTAGGTGGGCGTTATTATTACCCCTATGCTCTAGATGAGGAAACTAAGGCTCACCCAGTCAGCACGATGGCAGAAACCTGCCTTCACGCTCTCGTCTGTTTGAATCACGAGCTCTTGGCTTCCCCCAGCTGCCTCCATGGTGTGTTAGGCTGGTGGAATTTCCAGGTCAACGCTCACCTCCCCCAGAAGCCAGTATGATTATAAAGGATGCGCACGGCTCAAGGGTCCCCAGGAGGAGTGTGGGTGCGGGTAGGTGGGTAGAGGCCAAAATACAGCCCGGGCTCTGCTCACGTGGGCTATGGGCCCAGAAGGAGTGCCTTTTTTTTTTAATTCTCACAAAGGCAACCCACGGGCTAACAGTAGCCGACCCCCCGGGCCTCCTGGAATTCTGACAGCACCCACCGTGCTAGCCACTCACACAGCAGGCCCCTTAAGCCATATGCCGCCTTGCCTCCTGACCCAACTAGTTCCCACGACCAAAGTTGTTATTTCCATAACTCCCCCAGCCCGGTAGGCGCTTGCTTCTTCTTTAGTCCTTTTCTTCCCAAACGCCTCTCCCATTCCTATTTCATGAAACCTACCTTTCTTTTAAAACCCGGCGGGATGCTCACTCTTTCAGAAAGCCTTTCAGACACCACAGCTGAACTGCGGCCTCTCTCAGGCTGCTTTGTATCAGTCACAGCGTCTACTATACCCTGCCTCTGATAAGGGCCATCATCCTTCAAGCATTCACTCGGCGCGGGTCGCTGTGCTGAACACTCTCCATACTTTTTCTCCCTGAATCCTCACTTCACTCCTGTTATTATGCCCATTTCACAGAGGAAGAAACTGAGGCTCAAGGGACTTCAAGACTTGCCCAGGTTTACACTGCTGGGAAGCAGCGGAGCAGGAACTGAACTGAGGGGTTCTGCTTTTAAAGCTGCCTGCTCTGATCAGGGTGGTTTTCCATAGACGTCGCGACCACGTCTGAAACGCCAGCAATCTGAGGGTAGAAGCCACTGTGGGTCTCCGTAGGCCCAGAGGTGGGCTTCTGTAAATACTCCGCGAAGGAAAGAAGGCTGCCCTGGTGCAGCTTTTCTCTTTCCGCAGATGAGCTGCCACTCCTCCAAGGCTCCACAGCAGACCCTTCGCCCACAGGGGCCCTACGGGCTCTTCGGGAAACATGAACGCAGCTCTGCGGCCGGGCACACGGAGACCCCTGGAAGGGGCACCCGGGTCTGCGAGCGGAGAAGGAACCTCCGAAGGCGTGAGGTGTGCACTCCAACCACACCCAGCCGGGCCAACTTGTTTACGCCTCTTGCCCGGGCCGGCCCGGCCCGCCGCCCCGCCCCTCGCTCTCTCGCGTAGCTCCTCCCACCGCGCCGGCCCTTCTTTTTGCCTCCTTCGCAGTCACAAGACCTCTCAGCGGCTCCCTTTCGGAATCCTTCCGCCCGTCCCCGCCCCCCTACCTTACAAACTCTCCTTGTTTCTTTCTCGACTGGTTAGCATCATCAGTAATGAGCAGAACTTCCCCTTCCTTCCAAAGGTGCTGCCGACCGCGGTCATCTGTCGTCGGGTTCGACGGGGTGGGGGGTGAGACCCCGCTGGGACTCTTTTTCGTGGCGGAGGCTGCACCGGCCGCGGACATTTCACGACGGGGGGGAGGTGCTGTACGTCCAAGATGGCGGCGCCCTGTAGGCTGGAGGAGCTGTGAGGTAAACAGCTGAGGGGGAGGAGACGGTGTGTGAGTATGAGGGTGTCGCCCCCTCCCTTTCATGGGGGCTTCTCAGGGCAATCCTGGCACCATGGCCTCAGTCTGGGGGGCCCTGTGGGGCTGGGCCAAGGGGCTCTCTTGCCGGAGAAGGGACTCCGGGAAGGGGGGTTCGGAGAGCTTTCCCCTCCCTCTTATTACGCTCTATCTCCGGCGGGGCCCGGCCAGGCTGGCGGGTCTCTGGGGAGGAGAGGCGGCCCCGGCCGGCACGTCGCCCCTCTTCGGCGACGGAGGGGACGGCTGCACCCCCGCACCGCGGAGCCGAGGGCAGGGGTGAGGTGGGCCTGGTCGCCAGCCCCTCGCTGGGTGGGGTGACAGGTTCCCGCGGGGTGCGGAGAGCGGGGGAGAGACCCTCGGCTGGAGGGCGGGGCCGGGCGGTGGGGTTGGTCCCCGGGCTTGTTGAGAGGGGTCAGGGGTTGGGGGGGCGGGGGATGAATGGAGGCTGCCTGTGGGCATCAAGGACCCGCCTGGACTCGGTGTCTCCGCTGAAATTTGCATGACCGAGCGCGTCGCTCCGGGTGTGCTCGTGGGTATTTAATCGACGGTGAAAGACAGTTGCTTTCGAGTCAGCAGAGATGATTCTTAAGAGACAGCTATTTGCAGAGCCACTCCTAGACGCTCATTCATTAATTTGAGGAACTGGAGGGTGAAGAGCCCGCAGTCAGAGAGCCCTTTGAGAATGAATGCTGTTTCTTTGTGTTTCCTTTTCAAGAGTTTTGCTTCGTGTGCTTTGGATTTGGGGGTGTGGGGGGAGGCTTTGGAGGGGGCGCGGTCCTCTCGACAACAGCAGCTTGTTTATGGGGCACTCGCTGTGCAAGTGCTTTGCACTCATCCTCTCCTGTAGCCCTCGAGACAAAGGGGAAAGGCAGCCACTCTTAACGCCTCCATTTCTCAGATGAAGAAACTGAGGCCCCGAGAGATGAGGGTCCGTTGCCCAAGGTCATCCCTCTAGGATTATGCGAGCCAAGACTGGAACTGGGGTCTGACTGCCTCCCAGACTGTGCTCCTGTCTCTATTTGTACACCCATGACTCTCTCATTTATCTCTTATTTGATCAAAGCTGGCCCGTCATTCTAAGTAGGTGATTAGAATTAATCACTTGGCCGAGGTCTGTGCATAAGTGCCTGTGTGTGTGTGTGTGTGTGTGTGTGTGTGTGTGTGTGTCTTTAATTTTGAGGAGGGACACCCTTGCTTATATACCTTAGCTTTTGTTGGGGGTGGCAGGGTTGTGCCTGTAAACATGTTAGTCTAAATCACGCCGGAAAGTATTTGATGTTTTCATAAAACTCATGCGTTTACTGCAGAAAGAAGTCGTGCTAAAATCCTTGCTGGGTTTTTTTATAGAAAGCATGGAAATAGCCCTTCATTTTACATAGCGTAAGCTGTAAAAGTACTTAAATAGAATAATACTCTTCTGAGATTCATCGGTTTATAATTTGGGGATCAACTTGGAGTCGTCTGAATTCACACGTGCCGGCAAAGTGGAGCTGTAAATTTCGAGAAGCGTCATAAAACCAACCCTTGTGGGAGCCCTTGATTTACAGAGCAACCACCTGTGATTCTTAAGTTGCCCATTCCTGAGTAAACCTGGAACATGCACGTGTGAAAACTGATGTAGGGTCGAGTGGGGAAATGCACCTTTAACAGTCACGCATCAGGCCAATGAGGTGCCTCCGAAACACTGACAGATTCTTTGCTATTTCTCTGGGGAGCCACAGGTTCTCCCTCTAACCACCTGGTGTAAACTTAAGGGGTATTTATAGAGGGTGGCAATGGAAACTATCCTCTTACCAAACTACATATCTTACCCAGACGCTCTTACGCCACGTGCACGGAAGGGCGAACGATGTAAGCTTTCTTTGCTTCACGCATTTCCTGGTGTCATAAAGACTTTGGGATGTTCCTAATTGCCTAGCTAGACAGATTCCTAGGCAGCTACACGCATTCTTACTTGTTTTCATGAAATTGGAGTGTCTCAAATCCTGTGACTCAGTTGTACTCTTCCTCACTGGTTTCTTGAGAGCAAAGATGTCCCAGGCTGCTGCTGTCCGGGTGTAATAAGATGCCTTCTGTGCATACCTGTTTTCATTTGTGAGGTGAAACTGAACAGTCTTACTAGGACAAATCAAATACATGCCTGTTTGTGGGATGTTTATAGAGTAATGAAATCACCGGAAACGAGAGACCTCTAACAGTAGCGTCCATCAGAACCTTCATGCACAGGTATCTGGCCCCATAGTAGGTAGATTTGCATATTTGGTCTTTAAGTGTATTTTGGAAGAAGTCATAGGTGATTCTGATGTGCACCAGGGGTTGCGGACCAGTGGCTAAAGTAGCCACTTTGGCTATTTTTCTTTTAATTTATAATTTATTGCAGAGGCATTTCTTAAAATAGCTTCTAACCTCTGGTGTATATAGTGGTGGGTAAGTTTGGGGCGCTGAATTACAGCTGACTTGATCTTACAGATCTGTCTTCTTTCAGAGTTTGTTAAGGTACAGGTATGGTTCTTTTCTGGGTTCTAGGGCCATGGTAGACTAAAGTTAACTTTTTCTGGAATTAACTGGATATTCTTGGCTGCAGATGAGCCAAATACAGCAATACATCAACCATTTCAATCTTTTCTAAAAGTCAGATAGCTTTCGACTTCTAACAAGCCACTAAGTTCTCTGAGCTTCAGTTTATTCATTTGTGAAATAAGAGAGTTGGATCGTAAATGAGTATTTCAAAGTCTAAATTTCTGAGATTTCAAGTCCTTCTGGGGCTACATTGATTGAATCAGTGTTAATGGCTTTATAATAACTGAGCAAATGGATGACCTTTAGCGCAACCTGTTTTTATCCTTTCCTTTATATCACATTTTTAAGAAGGTATTCCTTAAAAGTTCCTCATATTATAAATCTCTCTTCGAGAGATTAGTTTTATTTGTATTAGTTTTGTTTGTCATTTAAGTAGCTGCAAGCATGAAAGAAAAGTATACTCGATAGCATTTAAATCTCGAGCTTTTTGCTTTAAAAATACATATATATTTATAATTAGCATATACTCAAAAACTGAATTTTCCCCCCTCAGTGTTTAGTTTGCATGAAATACTGATTTTTTTCTATTGGTCTGAAAAGGGTTTTAGACCAATTAAATTGGTTTAAAATTACCATCAGCAATTTTAGATTATTCTTTTTCTGATTTACTTTTTAAGCGTGTGGTTCCTAGACATTAGTAATTTAATGTCTAGTGTCTATTTTTGGGAGGGGGAGAATTTTAAAAAATATGTGTATATAAAACATATGTAATCCCAGGACCTTGCTAATTTCTTCTTGTCCATTCTCTTGTGCAGTACTAACTTTTGTTCTATACAGGGAAGTAGCAAAAGGTTATAGAACACGTTTTAAGGTTGAATGGATTCAGATTGTCATCTAATGAGTAAAGTGCCCTAAAAACCTAGCTTTGATACAGAGCAAGACATGGTAGTTACTGGCCTAGAATTCACAGGTCACTTTCTAAAGTAAAGATAATGGCAATAGAAGCCAAGAAGTGTTTGAGTAACAAGGGACAACTTTACCCTTTGGTCGGTGATAGAGGACACAATGGGCCGTGGTAAGAAAAAACAGATGTGGTGACCGTAATGTCTGCAGTTGTTAAGACCTGTGCTGCTCTGAGTAGTTCCACAGAGCACACGAGTACAGCAACAAACATGAAGTGTATCCATTTTAAGCTCCAGAATGACTGTATCAATGTTTCAAGTATAAGTTATTAAATGTAGACTTCTAAGGCTTATGTACCCATTTTGTTTAGTAGTAATATTGTTATAATAAAGTTTATATTTATTGGCACAGTGCCAAACAATGTGCTATGTTTTTTACACGCGTGATCCTGTTAGCTCTTCCCATAGCCTTAAGGGGCGGGAGAGAGAGATGAGCATGCTGAGGCTTAAGGTCACTTATTCGGTGGCTGAGCTGGGATTTGAGCCCTGTTGGTTGACTCCAGAACACACACATTTAATCTTGCACTGTGATAAATTGTCTGAACTGCTGATCTCATAAACTAACTCAAAGGTCAATGGTTCTTAAGTTTTGAGGGGGCCTCCGTTACCCTCTGAGGATTTGTGGGAAGCTGTGGACCAAATATCGTTTTCTGTCCCATCAGCACCAAGAACAAAATTCATACAGATATGAAATTCTGGATATGGCTTCAGGAACTTTACAGACCCAGCCTGAAGCCCAGCTGATCATTCTAGATAGACTACTGCTCTTAAAAATGGACTTGGGCTTTAAAAAAGAAACAAACAACAAACAAAACAGTAGATAGGAAAGGCCTACGTCTTTTAAAGATGGACTATGTACTGTTTGTATTATAAATCATTTTCTTAAACGTTTATATTGAAAGGTTCTTTACACTTCACTGGGAGATCAACCTTAGGTGCCACATTAAAAAAAAAAATTCTAAGTGGAGAACTCAGGTGTGTAACTTGCTAAATGCTTGTCAAGCTTGGCATTTGGTCTGTGTGTACCTTTAGCACCTGGCA